TCGAGCGATTGACTAAATTCTAGCAGATGAGGCCCAATAAGGGTATCTCCAATGCTGAGTGCTTAACTAGGCGCTTATCGTGGGGGAAGAAAACTATTGCTTATCTAGGAGTGATGGTTTAATGTTGGAGATGCCCTAATGTTTGAATAACAGAAATGCAAGCAGACTTGTGGCAAGGCTGTGCCACTGAGTACTAGGAACTATTGCTCTGTAGGGGGGCAGATGTTCCAGTCAATGATGTGCATGCTTTCAGCATCGGGAAAACAACATTCATGTGTTGAATATGTTGGCTCCAAGTATGGGTTGCCCCTCACATGACATGCAAAATTAACGACCAGATGGCTGGGCCTACAGATTCCGGAGCAGAAACATGATCATCTTGACATTAGGGGAATCATGTGTGTTAGCAGTTGGCATGAGTAATGTAATACTACAGGCAATATGTGCCTTTTGGTTTTAGGAGTAACACCCTGTTGAGTTTAGCACATCAGAACTATAATTGTTGTTACATATATGTGCAATTTCCTGACCAGCTTGCATTGTGTTTTGTCAATCTCAAAGATCGTACTGCTGTTGTTTGCTTTACTAGACAACAACATGCTTTCTGAAGGCGTTACTAGTGTCGTGAAATCTCCTTTGTTTCGCCATGTCTTGTTCCTTATATTTGAGTTGAATAAAACCATCACGGTTAGTTTCACTTGTAGGATTTTATTTGCTTCACTTAATATCTATTGTTGCCTGGTCTTGATGTTTATGGATGTATGTGGCAAAACGAGGAGGGATGTTTGGATGTATGTGGCAAAACGAGGAGGGATGTTTGTTCCACTGTATATTTCCTAATTGTAGCATTTGATGCATTTTGGGACTTAAATATTCAGTTGTAAGCACCCAGTCACTCAACATGTAGGTTACCAGACTGTACTGTAGTCCATGCTGGTCTTTAGAAAAATTCATCATGCATGCTGGTTTGAGAAACAGAGAACACATGCTTCTTTTGAGGGGGAAGATGCAAATATTACAGGGGCGCATGTGTAAATAGTTGACTGAATTGATCCAGTCCATTCCCTGTAGATCCAACGCCCCATGAAGTGCTGTAGCACCGTATCACTCAATGGATGGGAGCACAGGATATTTCCCCGTCAGGCAGCTGCACACACTCGCACCACTTCCTGGGACAGAAATTTAGGAGGCACGCACAGACGGGCAATGAATGCAGAATGGTGGTAGAAGCAGCTGTGCGCACCATGGTCCCAATACACGAATGCTCACATCTTATAATAAAATGAATTGAACAAGGGTAAACAATTGTGATTCGTGATTCTCTCTATAAAACACAAAAGTATCCATGACAAAACGAGCTCAACTAATTTTGGAGGGTTTTATCACTCCAAAGTCCAAACCATGGGAACCATGCAGTGGAATCTTGAAATGAGTTTTCAATGTAAACAGGCGGCTGCTTAAAACAAGGATATAAATAGGCGGCAGTGCTAGATAAAACAGAAGCACACTGTAGATGCTCGCCAGCCCATCACCACAGAGTGTTAGATGCAAGAAACCATAGGTTCATGGCTCTTAAGCTAATGCAATCATAATGCTCTACATATTAGGTTGACATGACATTTTAGCCTTTTAACATAGCCTCAGTCTCCAAGAGGTAATGATATGTCAGCAAACAGCTAGGATGCTGGGTTTCTTTTTATGAATATATTTTCCATCCGAACGTTAACCCCATAAGGGGCAATTATCATTTCAAATGAAGGCATCTGGATACCCTTTGGTTTTGCAATATTAAAAGGTCCAAGATTGGCAATGCTTAATTGCACACTTCCCATGGTGGCATGTATATATTTGTGAATAGGGGGGAGTAACATGCCGCACTCAAGGCGCCTACTCCCACATCTGCATGAGCTTGGCAAAACATGCATCGCTTCTTGGAAAGGAGCTGAGACCACAGGGATAACTAAACTAGGAGCATTAGCATGTGTCCCCTTATCTTGAGTTATCTTGTATTCAATTCCATGGGATACCAACTCATTCATGTGCATGGAGAAACCAAACCTGCATTATCAAAAGATTGGGCAGGTGAGCTGCATCATTGAGTTAAGAAAAAAGGACCAGCAGCGTGGCTCCCTCGTCCCTATTCATGGTCATGTTTAAGTATGATACACTTGGTCAAAATTCACAAGTGCATGCACTACACCAATGTGTTTGGCATATGACTGACATTATTGTAGTTACCCTGCCACTCCTTGACAAACACATAGTAAAATCAAGTTGCAACTTGCAGGTACTTACGTATATATGATTGCAGTTCGTTCTTGATTCTTGGCCAAAGTCTAGACATGCAGTTGACAGGAGAACATTAACTGTCTATGGTATACTAGTCCATTACTGCACACCCAACTTTTGATTCTTCTAAAAGAAAAGGAAATCGTATCAATCAAGCATCTATTAAATTCCACTAGACATATCATGCGTGCGCATAATGCGCGTATTACCAGTTTTCCCAAAACAAAATAGTGAGCGCTTAATCCAATTCTGCGTAGCACCACACCTAGAGCTAAACATAGGGCTTGTAGTTTAACCAGGTCAATCCATGCGATTAAGTATATATAATCATGTAGCCGCTGAGACTCGATTTTCTTTACTGCATAGTTTTGTGCATGCACGCAGAAAACTACAGAATATATAATTTTCTGGGAATTTGTATAAAATAGGAGCAAGTATAAGGGCTGCGAGTTGTAGACACTGATAACGCAAATACACCATAGTGGAGACTAACTGGGGACAAAAATCTTATCACCTGATTCACAATCCGTTGGAAACTGGAGAAGGGTGCACGATCTCTGTGCAGGTCCAGTTCTCATCCCGGCGTTTGGGAACTTGAAGCACCATCACCATGAACGCTGAACAGAAAGCAGAAGAGGCAATGACAAGGACACGTGAGATTATGATCACGTACATGTATACCCCCCATTATTCTGGGGCAGGATTAACAGAAAGCAGGGGCAGGAGTAAAGATAATGAAATGAACAGGAGGGTGATTTGTTTAGATCTGTTAAATCATTGCCATGATTAGATTCTTGACAGTACACCCTAACATAAAAATGACCTCTCTGGTTCCTCCAAAGTTTGGCAAACTGAATAACAGTTAACATAAGCATGCATGCATTAGTCAGCACACAATGCATCTAGCCATAACAGCTTCCCCCAAAACCATGTGACGGAATGCCTGTCTCCAAAGAAGCAAGCAAAGCGACATCGCGGATTTTGTCCCTGATATTTTATGGAATCTGATACAGATCTGCCATTATAGATTTATAAAAGAAAGAAAAAAACAGATCACCCAATGTCCTGTGATTCCAATCCTTTAGCAACCATAGGTGCTCCCCAAACGCCCAATGTTTATTAGGACACAAGAAATTAAATCATTTCATTCAACCAAAACCCCCCCTTCTGTACCCTCAAGAGAGGCAGGTTATCATGGCCTCCTGGACCGTTGCAGGTACTGTAGCGCATATACTGGATTGTAGTAGCACTATGACAGCACGCACCAGCGAAGCGGGTTTAGTTTGTTGGACTGAATTTATTTTACTAGAAGTTGGACTGAACTTTCAGAAACAGAGTTTGAGTTTTAGAAGATACACAATCGTGTCAACCTTAGAAAATGCTAAACTTGCGAGATTAATAAGCAGGACGAAATTTTAGAAGACACACAATCGTGTCATCTACCTTAGAAAATGCTAAACTTGCGAGATTAATAAGTAGGACGAAATAATTGGTCTCTCAATCGCACATCAATTGTCCACTCCTCCCTACTTGCCCACTGCCCAGCCATGAACTCGGTTGATTTATTTATGACACGAGTTGTCCTGCACCAAATGGAAATAACACCAGTACTACCTTACAGTTAAATTGAAGCCATTGTGTAAGAATCCAGCCAAAACCAGCACCTTGCTTGCAAGTCCTTCTGCTCGGTTAGGTTGTCAGCCAGGCATTCAATTACACAGACCTGGCAGGACTCTTGATTGTGTTGAATCTGAGATGGAAAAATAAAAATGTCTGGTGCTAGTACCACATGATAGCGCATGATACTTAAATCCCACGGTCCATACGCCCTCAAATGTCACATCCGGCGAGGCCAGGCAGTACCAAGACGGACCTGAACAAGTAATTGCCTACCAGCTATTCCAAGCGGACCACAGGTGGTATAAACCATAAATTTCTGCCAAATTATCAACCCATCTCTTCCAGCTAATCCATCATGTCGGTCAATTACTACTACTGCATGTTATTCAGTTGAAAGTGCACGGTAGAATGGACTCCTATTGGCAATCGACTGCCAGAGCCAGGTAAAAATGGGAGGCTAGATACTTGGAAATAGAATGGGAAAGCTGGAATATATTCCTTGGTTAGAGGAAATGGGAAGCTAATGACAGTGGTTACTCACACTAGCCTCCAACCACCAAGGCACATGGAAGCAGTGGTAGGGCCTACTCTATTCTACTCCACCTCTTGGATGGCTGTGATTAGGCCACAATGGCGAGGCACCAACTTTGAAGCACCACCACCTGATCATTCCTCATCAGCACCTAGCTACACACCGAAACTACATATTCTAACCTCAGCATCGGCAGCAGCTACACACTGAAAGAAACCACACATAAATATATCCTAACCCCAGCAACTTTGAAGCCCTTCACTTTGATTCTTCCTGTCTACCTAGGTTTAAAAATACTATGCTCCCTCCAAGATCAAAATGCACTGAGCTGAGCTGATGAGCCCTCATGTACCAGAGAAAATATTAATTCGTCACATGGGCACCCCCAAAGCTCCCTCCCCTTGGTAGGCTATAAATGCCTGCCCATGACATCTGCATGGTTCTCTACACCACACACCATCACCACTGCTAGCTACTCCTACTCGATCGATCGTCCCAGCTTTTGCCACAGACAGCAAGAGCCTAACACGTTTTCCACCCAGCAGCAGCAGCAGCTAGGATGGCCATGAATCCTCTCTCCCAGGAGCACCCCAATGCATGGCCATGGGGCGTGGCCATGTACACGAACCTGCACTACCAGCAGTACCACTACGAGAAGGAGCACCTGTTTGAGAAGGCCCTCACGCCCAGCGATGTAGGCAAGCTCAACAGGCTGGTGATCCCCAAGCAGCACGCCGAGAGGTGCTTCCCTCTTGGCGGCGACTCTGGGGAGAAGGGCCTGCTCCTCTCCTTCGACGACGAGGCCGGCAAGCCATGGCGGTTCCGGTACTCGTACTGGACGAGCAGCCAGAGCTACGTGCTCACCAAGGGCTGGAGCCGGTACGTCAAGGAGAAGCATCTGGAAGCCGGCGACGTCGTGCACTTCGAGAGGGTGCGCGGCCTCGGCACCGGCGACCGTCTCTTCATCGGCTGCAGGCGTCGCGGCGACGTCAGTGCACCAACGGCAGTGGCACCACCGCCTGCCGTGCATGTCGTGCCAGCGTCTGGTCAGAGTCCCAGGGAGCAGCAGCAGCACCAGCAGCCATGGAGCCCGATGTGCTACAGCACATCCACCTCATACCCTACTAGCCCGGCCACCTCCCACGCCTACCGTCGCTCAGCAGAGCACGATCACAGCGACATGCATCATGCAGGTAAGGTTAAGACTGCATGAACTGAGGAACAAAACAAGACACGTTACCATTTCATACCTCTAACGCCATTTCTGGTGAATGAACAATCGCAGGAGAATCCCAGTGGGACGCAGACACCAGGAGCTGCAGCCCAGCCTCGGCACCGACACGCCGGCTCAGGCTGTTCGGCGTGAACCTCGACTGCGCGCCAGAGCCAGAGGCAGAAGCCGTGCCCGCGACGCCGGCGATGTACGGCTACGTGCACCAGAGCCCCTACGCCGCCGTGTCTCCAGTTCCCAGCAACTGGTCAGTACTGAAACATCAATGAGTTGAATCATCACTGATCGCGACAAGTAGCCACATATAATTCTGAAAATTGACCAATCAAGAACTTTTGACATGACAGGGGCAGTTCATGAAGAAGATGACGAGGAGATCTGATGCCATGCCTTTCTTTGCATGAGCTGAACAACCAGCGGTGGAACAAGTTTACTACCACCACCAGCAGCAGCCTACTACTGCTGCTATGCACCAAGTGACAGGTTTGAATTGACCCGTGGAAGGAAAAGAGAGGAAGTGGGGAGATCCCTTGTTCCCCAGTCAATCTTCCATCCACCCATCCACCCATCCATTCATCGCCCCTTTTCTTTTTCTTCTTTTCCCCCCTTTTTGTCTTCCAGAAACACCATTTGATGTACGGCGGCAGGCATGGGTTAGGGGAGGATTCAGGAAAAAGAGAGGGGGAGAGAGAGCTAGACAGAGAGACAGACTTGTGTACGTATGTGTCATGTCTGTAAGTGAGTGCTTCAGTGGGGGCCAAGAAGAACCTCTGAAGCTGATGTATCCTCTCCTGCCTGCTCAAGAAACATCCCCATTGGGATTTTGTTCTCTCCCCTCTCTTTTCTGTACAGTTCTACTGTGGTAGAGCTCATGCAATCAATTGGTGGTGGTGTAACTGCTTTCACTTTTGCAATCAATAGGCTCAATGCTTTCACTCCCAACTAGAGGTGCAAGGATTAAGTAGCAATGTATTCTGTTACTTTAAATCTTTTGCCTCCGCTTCAAAAAAAGGCCCTGTTAGGAATAAGCGAATAAGGGATATTTTTCATGTCCATGCCGGGCATGAACTGATTCATGTGAATAGATGGAAAGATAGCCACTCTAACAATTTCATGAAAGGAAAATTTAGCAAATGCCCAACATTAAAAAATGATGTACTAGCATAAATGATGCCCACATCTGCGGATTTTCCCTTATCTTAATATTTAGTGGTCGGTCTCAACCTTTCTGTTCCCTCGGGGAGGAAAAGTTCAACAAAAGATGAATGTGCAAGTGGGCTCAGTTTCCCCTAATAGGATACTGAAACAAAAGGCTGGCTAAGCTGATGGTCTAACAGGCACCAAGTCCAGACACAAAAGGCCGCTAAACTCCAATAACCAGCATGATTCCTCACAAACATGTACCAAAAGAAAATTAGAGCTATGTCTCCAGCTTTGTTGCCTATGTAAACAAACCAGCATGAGACAAACAACATGTTATTGTTATGACCAGTCAATGTTACAAAGCAGATGCTGAAGGAACATGAGCTAAACTGACTTGGTGATACCTGCTCTTCAAGTCTTAGCAGAGGGCAAGCCGTCGCCAGCCATAAAAGATTAGCCGTACTGCCAGCTTGCAAAACACGCCGAGGCTAAAATAAAGTGCCTGGAGAATCTAGATTAAAAGCCTAACACCTAGGTCACCAATCTGGTGTAAGCACTTGTTGTAAAGACTAGAGATTGCAGGTGCAAGTTGCCTGAGAAGTAGGTCTTGCTACATACATGCATGTACTTAGTGGAGAATACCAAGACAAGCTAATTAAACAAGGCCCTAGATCATTCGACTGATCAACTGTGGAAATGATGATTAAAACTAGCAGGCTAACTACTGTATCAACAGCCAGATTTCCTGCCCACTACTGAAACACGAGCCATGTGCACTGCAGGGGCAAAGCTTTCACTAATTCCAAAAGCATGAATGAAATTTTATCCCAGGGTTACATGATTAACACTTTTGAACACCAAAACCAATCTATCTTAGCATTAGCGCAAATGGGTCATGTGAGTGCCATAATGGTAAAGCAGACTCTCACTCCATGTAGCACATACCGAGAAGGTGCAACTGAAAAGTGCAGGCTAATCGCATCATCTGCGTAAAGACTTGCAGCCAAATCTGCAGTTTTTTAAGCTGGGAACAAAACCTATTAACTATGCCCTACTGCGTAGCATTATTGTGAAAAGTCAAAAAAAAAACAGGACTATGGAAGAAACGTCAAATAAAACATGAGCAACAGTGCCACGAGGATGCATCAATCAGATGAGTGAATGGCCACCCACACGATACAAACGGGGTGCCAGAGGCTTGATCGACCCACAAACTGGACCTACAATATGCTGGCCATGATGCACCCATCAGGCATCAGCCACTGGATCTCGTTGCTTTCCAAATAAGTCACTGCCTTCATGAGGTGAGGCTCATGAGCCAGCATGGTCCACAAGGAACGGGCTGGCCTGATGAATGCTCATGTCTTACTGTAGTTATATGCATCGTTTGCCGTTTTCCCCGGCACCAGCTAGTAGTTCTAGACGCCTGCTTTTGTACAGAAACAGTACTTCCCTTGAGAAAAACAGGCGCAGGATGCACAGAAGGTGGGCCATTGGAGGACTGTAAGGGCCTAAGGTATGTCTGATTGTCCTATAAAACTATGATGTGCCAGTGTGGAAACTACGCATATATTTAAGCTGTTAATGATAACATATGGACAAGCATATACACTGTATCGATATTTCGTCTCGTGTCTCGTTGTGGTACAAAGAGAATGAGTAGGCCTCCAAATTGTTGGCGAGATATGAGTCAAGTCTCAGAATAGCAACCTCCTAGACCAACTGATAATCATCATGACGAGGACATATGACAACAAATAAATTAGTTAAATATTTAATTTTGAGCAATGAAAGTGATGACATTTTCCGAAGGAAGAAAAGAAAGCATCAGAGTAAAGTTTTTTTTTGTTGAGAAACAAATGAAAACAGGTGTCTGAGAAGAGGAAACAGCTACATGTCAAATGGGAGCTCAAAAGGTGTGTGGCATCATTTCTAGTAGAATATTACCCCAACCCAGATGGTATAGACAAAGACAATACTGTTGAGAAAATAAAATTGTGCATAGTGTCTGACTAAAGCTTCAGGGTAACTTGGTTTCCAACTGTACAAGTCACAAGAGATGAATCACAGAATACATGAGTAGGTTTGCATTGATGCAGCACATTTTCCTGACCAAAAGGTTAAATGGATTTAAATCCTACATGAGTAGGTTTGCATTGATGCAGCACATTTTCCAGTAACAATTATGTTCAATGCAGCAAGGTGAAATACAGTATCAAACATGAAATAACATATAAGTGTTAACAAATTGCAGACCACATGAGAGTGGGAACACTGATGAGGGAATGGAGCATACCACTTTCCATAGCTCATCATTCTTTGATCGGAAACAACAATGAGGATGGTGAAATCACGAGGGAGCGAACCAAGATGTGTATCAATCGCTGCAGTTATCTACTGCAGCACGCCCATAGACAATAGTGCAGCGAATCACTTCCTGAGACACCCAGATCCACTTCCAGCATATTTCTACATGAATAAATCCTGCACATGTAAGAGGTATTGTCTTATGATGTATGGCGCAACTACTGTACAAGATAAGAGCTTGTAGGTCACTCAGTCTGTTCAGATGATCAAGGACCCACATCTGGGCTACCATTTGCTGTGCACAGTTCAGATGGTACTGCTGATATTACACCAAATGGGGTCGGCAGCATGACATTATTGACTTGAATGGCCAATCTCACAATATAAGTCGACATGGATCTTTAAAGCGGCAGATCCACTACTCACAGGACAATAATTTGCTACATGATGGGAGCACCACTTGGAGATGATTGGTCTCATTCGGTTCTCAATCCCCAGAAGTCCCCACAAGAACATGAACCATCCTTAAAATGGTTGAATCTACAGATATCTGGCAATGACCAGGCGTTCAGTAAGATGGGTTGCAGTCTTCATGAATTCATGGAGAAATAGGATATACAGATCCTAAGGTTTTACATATCGTAACAATTGGTAATACTAACTTAAGTTGATTAAACCAAAGAAAGTAACAAATCCTCACTTAAGTGTTTAAGCAGCTCCAGCCTCCCCCTTCGAGTAGTCATGCACATACATGAAGGTCACATTGTGTATTAGCTGGTCCTGTGAAGAGATCTTCTCATCTCACGGTAAATTACCTTTAACTTATTATAGAGGGTGCTCTGTCTCTGTCGTCAAGATAATATCCCACTTTGGACTGGCAGCATACATATCTGAATGTCAAACATGGTTTCCACCCTTGTCAGGTCCAAGTTGGAAAAACTGCTCAGTCTCTATTCTGGCTAATCTTATTCTCCTGTAGCTCCTACATTACCCTGGCAAATATCCTCACATAGAAGCAGCAGGTTCAAACACCGTTACTGGAACCAAATCCCAGGCCTTGTCAATCCTCCTAGCTCGTCCAGAAACATCAACCTTTCAAAAATAGAGAAGGATATTAGCCAGGTTCAACCGAATGATCAGTCATTACTCATTAGCAATCTTAAGTAGTGATGGGCCTCTCCAAATAAGCCTGCATGACTGCATACTGACACTACAGGTAAACGGGTACCTCACCCCTTCATTCAGAGAAACCCTTAACCGCTGCATTTCCTTGAAAATAATCTTAACTCCTGAAGAGCGAGCATTCCTAGAAAAACCAGCGACCATTGCACACCTCCCCCCCCCCCCTTCCCTTTGTGCTATCTGAAGAGCATCATGCACATACCCTGCAAGCAACGAGCTCTAACTGTGACTCTCTGTGGCATCTTTTCACAAATCCGGCTTGCATTCTTAAATCGTATTAAGCTTTGCATAAACATCACGAACTACAGTTCTGACAGAACTACTAGAGTCCAGTGCAAACTTGATGGCCACGCCGTGTAACTGCTTGCATTTACACAAAGCATATTTTCCAGGACATGCACATAGAGTGCTGCTAAAGGTAAACTCACTCATGTGCATCCCTTGTTGGTGCATCACAGAAAAAAGCACCAGAACTTGCATATCCTCTCCACTACGAGTACCCAGCAATCATGGTGCTACATGAGACTATACTTTTGACCGGCATTGCATCAAAATGATGATGAGCACAGTCATTCTGATCACGTTCTGTGTACAGAATGATAAGAATAAGGGTTGCATGTGAGAGTATATGTTACCAGACAGAGAGGAATATCTAACCCGATGCCAGCTTTTCCCAACCAAGACGGCAAGAAGACCTCTCCGCACATAGCAATGCCATGACAAAAATAAGGTAATAATTTAAGAAACTCT